TTATCAGGTTAGTTTATGGCTTTGTCTGTCTGCCATTTGGTGAGAGCCAGGTAGCTTACTGTGGGTTTATCAGGTCTTTTTCATCTAAATTGCTGCTTGCTGTGGCTGGAAACAAGATTAATGAGAGTGCTGAGACTGAATCAAAGCAGCTAAGTTGATGACCGTATAAACAACATAATGAGGTGAAAGACCTTAAAATGTTACATGGAGCTGGGAATGAACCATAGACTCCCTGGGAGTTTGTCCTCATGAGTTACTCCTTTCACATTACATGGTCATTTGAGCCATTATTAAAATTAAAATATTGATTAGGGCCACATTAGTTATTACCATACTCCTGAACAAAGAGTGGCATTGTCCCTTGCATAAGTTGTCATTTGGGATAAGATGTGCTGGTTTGGCACTAAATTGACTCACTGCAGGTTCCTGGCATGACAAAACCTTTCTGCCAAGCTAAACTGGGATGCAGATGTTGGGTTCACAGGCTCTTTGAAGCCGTACCTCGTAAAGACACATGTAAGAAAGATTTTTCTGCTTTTATTTCAAGGATTAATTGATCAACAGGGTGACTGATGCTAGCTGTTGGCTACAGATAAGAAGTCTGGCTTCTGACTTTGATGTGGATGACAACTTGTTGTATGTAGAGATTGATTTTCTTTGCTTGGAGTACCTCTGTTTTACTGCAACTCTGGTCTTGGTTCAAAACACTTTGTCACTCCGCCACACAAGGAGGACAGTGACTTCTACTGTTTACCAAGCAATTAATCATATTGCTCTAATCAAGGGGAAGTGTGTGCCTGAAGCAGACTGTAGATAAGGGACTCGTTTGTGGTGCTGTAAGATACATTTAGCCTCTTGCTCACTTTTGAAAGCTAAATTATATTGCAGATTAAATGAAGTTTTACTAAGCCAAAATGCATCTTAATGAAATGTTTTCACTAAGTTTCCTAATATGATAAAATGATACTCCACCGATACAGTATGTTCAGTGTGAGTCAGCGTTACCTGCTGTGGAATTTGATAATGAGTCAAGACTCGGAGCTACAGTAAGTGATTCCGCCAAGATAGCAGCTTTTCTAGCAGTAGGGTCCAGTGGGCTAATGTGATGGAAAAGGACAAAGTGTATGTATCTGTGTGTGCGTTTGAGTGTGCGCAAGTGAATATGTGTGTGTTTGTCTAAGCAGCTTACAGAACCCCCCGCTGCCTCAGATACAGCCTACTGAAGCGTGTCGGGTTTCTAAGTGAAAGAGGTTGGGTATCACCAGTCTGCAGTTCTGCAAAGAATGGATGGAATGCTTTGGAAAAGGCAACAGGAATGGGAAGTAAACAATCTGGGGTATGCAGAGAAAAAGGGGGGGAAAGGGACTAAAGTAAATAAAAAAAGTTAGTGAGAAATTGTTTAAATGCAGGGAAAATGAAGGACACACCTGAAGAGATATATAGCTACTACCCTTGTTTTCAAGTTCCTTGAGAAGAAAGAATGGCATTCCAGCAGGGGGCTGTCGGTAGTGGCCTCACCTCCATCCATCCAGGCACCCAGGGATTCAATTACACCCTGATGGGCAAGGATGGAAAAAGCAATTGGGGCGATATGTGGACAAGGGGAAGAGAAATGTATGGGTGCTGGGAACCACACAGACAGGCGGCAGTCAGCCATGATTAAAGGTTCCTTCCCTGTTCTTCCTCTTGGACCCAGCACATCCTCCTGCATCCCCTTCAAGCCTCACTGCACTCTAGCGCAATGCCTTGCCAGCTGAGTGACCCGACACCTGCCACACCACATTTGCACCGTCCCTCTCCTGATCTTTTGTCTTCCCAGACCACCTCACTTTAAATCCTGGCAGGATGTAGCCATTCACATCAGCGCATGGAAGCCACAGAGGGATTTCATTGGAGAAGAATCAACAGGAGTCATGTTTGAATTGGCATGGAGTGTAATTTATGATTTTCCTGAAGAGTCAAACTTGCAATGCTGCCCTCGGGGCAGCTTTCCAACTGTGCTGAGTATTCATGTAGCTTCAACCTGTTAGAGAATTTGTTTCTGTGCTCAGAGAACGAGCTGCAGTGTGCTTAACCTCCCTTCTGACATCAGAGGTGAGCCTGTGCTTGATATGATAAATTCATTAAAAGTGGCTAAGGAATACAGATATTTATAAAACTACAGCAAATAAACACTGTAAAAACACAGCAATCAATCTCATTGAATACTGTGTGCCTCACCATGGAGCTGGCATAGACAAATTGTGTATTTATTGATTCTTACTGAAAGCTTGGCTAGATTTGTTTTGCTTACTCCTTATATATTATCTTTGCTCTAACTACAAAACATACTTATGCATATGCTGTTTATTGTTAATTTAACCAGTTTAACATTTTTAAATGCATTTTTTGTTATTGAGCACATTCAATATGCCGCCCAGATAGAGAAGACAGCCATAAGTGTAGTGCTGCCGGAGTGAACTGGAACACCTTTTTTAGTTATATTTGCACATTCTGGTGAAATTTTTGACATTACATTTTTGTGAACACTTGAAGATCCAGTCATCGGTAAAAGTGTATGTCCTGCAAGAGAACCAGTAAATACTGTGAGGAGCCTTTCTTGCTCTTACTGTGTAAGAGACCTTTTTTTTTTTTTACCTTTCCTATTATTATATTCTGCAAAAAGGAATATTTATTTCATATCACACTAAGCTGAATTATAAACTGGGACTATTAAAGACACAGGTATGAGACGTTTTTGTGTGACATATAGTGGCACATGTCTAGTTGGTCCAACAAATGGCGGTTTTCCATCAGCACAGGTCAGCCCCGCTGAGCCCAGGCATGCACAGCAGAGCCATGCCGAGCTGCTCCAAAGTCATCATGGTTGTGTTTCCACTGCACCGTAAAATGTATTATCCTCCACATCTTGATCAGGTGGGGGTGGCGCCAGCCGCTGAGAGGCAACACACAACTCATGGTGTTGATGTGATGTTAATAGCTTGTGATGTGGAGGCCTTGGCACTAGCCATTATTTTAACCCCTCATCAGAAGACTGAGAGACTTTATTTTCATATCTTGCTACAATTAAATAACGAAGAAAAAAGTCAATGCTGAACATTCCTTTGGTGCAACATTTCAGCCAGTCACCTGTCTTGATGAAGCTTGGCCTCACTCGGCCCTGAGCAGAAGCAGGCTGAGTCCAAGTCAGCAGAATTTACCCCCTTTTGGCATGAACAGATGGAAACAGAGGCCAACCTGTGCCCGTCTGGCTACGCACTATTAAAGCAGCCTGACCCCTGCTGATGAAAAACACCAAAACTTGCCTCTTTTGTTCTTTCACACCATTTCCATTGTCAACAGGACTGAGAGACTAGAACTCTCCAACAGCCACACCATGAAACTGTAATGAGGCAATCTAATAAAATCTAATAATGTGAGACAAAATGGATTATCCTCTGGTGATCATAGTAGAAATTTGCATTGGTGTCATGTTTTTTTCCACTAAAGGCAGGTGCACTATCAGAAAAAGTAGTGACAGTTTTTGCACATATAGAATTTGTTGTTAAGCAATCAGGAAACGTTGGGACACCTGTAGGAACTGTTTGCATCAATTTTCAAGGCTTCATTTAGTTCCATTGTTGCAGAAAAGATGTTGACCTGATACCTGAAAAATGCCTGTTTTATATGAAATTTACTTTTGTTTTCAGTCCTCGGAGACTTTTGTTTTGTTTTAAATTTGACAATTGACTTCTTAGCTTTGCACCATTTAAGGTTATTCATTGGACATGACCTGCTTACATGTCAATGAAAACTGAAAAACCTGGGGTGTTCTGAAACTGACTGATAATGTACAGCTTTAAGTGTGTTTGATGCTGTTCCCATTTTGGGTGAGTGATGTGGGAAATAAAACACATTCTACATAAAAGTCCCACATTTTTTGAACAATTATTCTCCACATTCACGTGTTTTTATGGCCAAGCAGTGGAATATTCTTGACTGGTGAGGTCAGTCACATGACCTCAGTCTGAGTGAGGCCAAATGTTTCATTTGTTGAGACCAGAGTGTTGGTTAAAGATTGCAGTGTGTCAGTGATCGCATATTGTATAATACACATGATTACGATACCATTTCAAAGTATGTTTTTTAGTTCAATTACTCCTATTGTTGAGGAACCTGCATTGAAGGGTTACAATTCCTCCTCTGTTCATCTGATGTGGCTATACCCACCTGAAAGAAAAGGTCAGTCTGCACTTTAGCTCCACGTTCAATGTTTCATTATAAAGTCAACACAAATCAAATGTGTCACTGTTCAGACAGTAATGCTTTGAGCTATAATTCTCCCGATGAGGATATAAGGAACATTTCTTTAAGTATGGTTTTGACTTTTTTAGCAGAGTGGAACTAAGTAAATGTTTCTGCTTGTTTGGTTACCATCCTGACATTATGTTAACACACAGCTCATCCTGCTTTAATGACAGCTCTTCTAACGGCATTCCCCAAAATATCATCACGTTACTCCAGATATTTGGTCAAAGTGTATACATTAGTGTATGAATATATGTTATACAAGTGTCACCGAAAACACACAGTTGAGCCACTTGACAGTGAGCTGGATAAACAAGTGTTTTCTAACAGCAGGCGAGGGCGTGTTGTTTTGAAGATTTCCCTAACAAGGTGCAGATGGAACAAAAATATGTTTTTAGATCCATTCTTGTACTTTACATTAGCTTCTGAATATGCACATTTCCACAGACCCCTGGGTTATCCTTGATTGCAATTACAGTATTCATAACAATTTAAACTAATTTCCTCCTAAGTTTTTCTTTCTTCCTGCTGTTTGCTGGTATTGTTAGTACAGTATCTTTCTTCTGCAGTTTGCACTCACATTCTCTCTTGCTTGAATCACTTTTACTGATGTTAGTCTGCAGACGTCTGCTGCATTTTAGGCATGAATATGGAATGTCAAAATCACCTACATATGATTAAAATGCTAGGCTGACCTCCCCGTCTCTGTGCAGGTTCCCTATGTCAAGGTGGCTCCAGAGGACATTCTCAAGGTTCAATTCCCCCGGTTCACCACTCTGGACCTGAGGCCAACCAACACAGACATCAGCCTGGCTGTGGCCGGACTTCTCACCTTCTTTAACAGCACCACCGCCTGCCTCATCTGTGCTCAGGCTGAATGTGAGTACAGCATCCACACCCTCACAACAGATTACACAATCATACGCACCTGGTGAGAATGCTCACATGCCACCTACCCTACATCTGCCTCCAAAGCGAAAACATTTAGGTTTGAGGCCTGCTGTCCTTTAAGACATGTTAGTACACATAAGTTTCTTGCATGTAGGCCAACAGTGTTCTGACAACAGATGCAGCAACATCTCGCCCTGTGGCATGTTCCGCTCTGAAGCAGCTGCTGCGCTCACGGCTAGATCTCCCTCACAGCAAGGTGCCAGACGTCTGCATCCTGAAATAAATTACACTTACTGCACAATCTTTTCTCTTATTTAATGTCATAATTAGCCTTAAATTGATAATGATATAGCGTGTTACACTGTGTCATGTATAATCTGTCTTCAGCCTTTAGTCTTGGTGTGATGTCTGCACACTGTTAAAACACTGGCTGCTGATGATCAACCCATGTCTTTAAGGCTGACAATAAAAGATGAGGATGGAGTTTGCAGCTGTATCCACCACTGATCTGACCGCCCCTTTGTCTGAGGCACTCACAAGACTCTAAAGATACTAAACTGAATGACCTTTAAAAAGCTTGAAAATGTCCTAAAGGGAAGTTATTTTCATAAATAGAGAGGAAGATTAAATCATGGCCTGTTCCCACCCTCTTGCAGTCGAGCAAGCAGTAATTACATCTCCCCAGATAAAGACGCCGTGACCATGAGTGGCACCCGTTAACCTTTCTTCCTAATCAACGCAAGGTTTTGAAGAAAGCAAATAGGCTTGAGACATCAACCATGTGTCAAACAGCCCAGAGATGGCAATGAGCCACTGTGGACCGCCCACCCTGTCTCTATTCTCAGTCCTTCTGCCTTTCAACCCCACCTTTGACTGTCTTTTTGCCGTCTTCTTTCATTCATAACCTTTAAGATGAGATTTGTCTCTTAAAGCTCTGTGTATTATAGATCTTCTGACAGAAATTCAGCTGCGGTTAGGTGACGCAAATGTAAAGGTAGCTTTTTTTAAAATTAAAGATTTTTTTTTATACATTTTGCCAAAAGCTGATTATGCAGAAGGAAGGTTCCAGGCTCGAGCCCCAAGCCTGGATGGCATTTGTATGTTCTCCCTGTCCCTGTGTGGGTTCTCTCCGGGTGCACCAGCTTCCTCCCACAGTCCAAAAACATGCAGCTTAGGTTGACTGGCGATTCTAAATTGCCCATAGGAGTGTGTGTGTGTGTGTGTGTGTGTGTGGTTGTGTGTCTCTGTCAGCCCTGTGATAGACTGGCAACCTGTCCAGGGTGGACACTGCCTCTTGCTCAGTGTCAGCTGGGATTGGCTCCAGCCCCCCATGACCCTGTTCAGGGTAAGAAGTATAGATAATGGATGGATGGATAGATGGATGATTATGCAGAAATTGAAAGATGTTGCTGGGAGGAATTATTTAAAGTTACTGAAAGAAAATACTGCATATCTAACTTTAGTTCTACGAACCCTGTTCACCCATTATAACTTGAGGGGTCAAAGCGATATCATTACTGTAGGTGTTTTTCTTTCTAGGTGTTCCTGTACCTGTCAGTGATTCTTCCAATTCAGGGCTTCTGTTTCTGTGACATTTATTCCACAGACAGTTGATTACAGCACTGGCAAGAACAGTGATAACAAGTGAACCTTTTAGGCACATTCTCACTTTCATATTAGCAGGTTTGGAGAAAAGAAACTCATTTTACCATTACTGTCTTCTTCCCTCTGGTTGTGTGTGGGTTGCTGGGGAGGCTCTTATTCTGCGTCAGTGGGCTAAGAGAGGACTGGAAAGGAAATGAAATGAGGGGAGATGAGAGGTAGATAGGAGAGATTAAGGGGAGGGGAGAGCATACTATTTGGCAGATGTGGGAGAGGTGAAATATAGTGATTGGGGTGAGGGAAGGGGGGAGACAACCAGGCTGGAATTATACATTAGCAACAAGACGGAGATAGTCCAAGAAATAACATGGCTGTGTTGATTGCACCCTCTCATGTGACTCTCGTGTGTTTTGCATGTAAAGGTCTGTGTTTAACAATAGCATCAGCTGAAACCCCTTCGACTTTGACTGAAGCTCCACCAGGTTCACCCCTTCTTATCAGCTCATGCGGTGAGTTGGTTGGTTGGCCGTCTGCTGTTGGTGGCTCATCCACATGTGCCCGCCTCATTAATCACCCGAGCCAGTGACAGCCTAATAGAGCGTGGCCAATTCATGAATATTTTCCAGCCATGGCTGAGGAGGCAGGAGTGCAAGTGGAGTGTTGCCCAAAAGCATGGTGTACACTAGGACGGACATTAACTTCTACTACAAATGGCAGCGTGTGTGCAGTAGCAGATGCAGTACTGTAACCGCTCCCCAGACTTTAGTCCATGTAGTTGAAGTTTCTGGCTTGACATATGTGGCTGTGGTCTTTTAGTAAATGAAAACAGACTGACAGAAAAGTGTGGAATCCTGGATCCACATGCATACGTTATGCAAGCCACACACATGCTGTTCCTGTAGACGCAGTGCTACAGCTTTGCGCTTCCATTTGTGAGGTGATTGGCGCAGCTGTCAGGAAGCTGAACGAGAACATCCAATTAGCCCGGAAATTTACCTAGAGCTGCAGTGCAGGTACGTAATAAGTTCCACAAAGCAGAAGGTCTCAAATGCCTGCAGAGCATTTTTTTACTTTTGGAGAGTGAGGTCTTGGCTCACTGGGTTGCTCCACACCAGCCGTAGGAGAAAATAACACTTCATTACTTGTTGTGCCTGGGTTTCACTGGAGTCTGCTCATTTAAACAACGTCTTATGCTTATTCTGGTATGGATTGAATCCCCAAGTTGTAAAATAAATTGCATTTCTCCATTACTCACAGTTTCTAGGGCTCACCTCTTGTCCCTCTGTGTCATAAGTTGTAGTGCCATCAGGAACTTGCAATCAGGAATGTATACAAAGGCGTAAGGATGATATGAACATAGTTATTGTGAGAGATGGTCTTTATGACTTTGTAACAATAGTAGTTGACATCACTTTGTAGTTTTAAAAACTAGATAGATTTGTGGACAGATGCAAATGTGCAGAATTAGTCTTTGCTGGAGTAAACTGGCAGCCTGTCGTCATCGGTGTGTGAATGTTGTGTGTGAATGGGTGAATGGTGTATCATCTCCTGTAAAGCGCTTTGGCCAGTGCAACACGCTGTGGAAAAATGCGCTATATAAATACAGTCCATTTACCATTTACCAAGATGGACCATACAGTGACCAGAGAGTCAGAGGGCTGCGCGGGGACAGAGCGATAGGCATCTTTTATTGTTGTGTAGCAGTGGTCCAGTGTGATTTTGTCCCACCAGTTCATGAGTGAGACTTGCCCTGTTAAAGTCCCCTAGAACAATGAGTGGAGATTTGGGATGTTCTAGCTCAGGGCTAGTTATCTGTTCTGCCAGGAGCTGTAGTGTGCTAGCATGGGCCTGTGGCTTTAAATAGACACCCACCAGGATGAAGCTTGAAAATTCTCAGGGAGAATAGAAGGGTTTGCAGTTGATAAAAAGAGTCTCTAAGTCTGTGTTATATGTCCTCAGTAGCACTGTGGCATCTGTGCACCAACCTTCATTTATGTAAAAGCAGATTCCACCTCTCGTTTTCCCGGACAGCCCCGCGATCCACTCTATACACCTGGAAGCCCGGTACTTGTATCAAGCTGCCCACGATCGAGTCGCTCAGCCAGGTCTCCGTGAAGTACAAAGCGGCAGAGTTAGTCCTGGTGACAAGAAGAATTTCATCCATCTTGTTGACCAGGGAGCGGAGATTTGCCAGGTGGATAGACGAGAGTGGAGTCCGGGTCCCTCTCTGGCCTAGCCTCACTAAGGCGCCTGCACACTTGCCACACCGGCGTTTCTTCCAGATCCCATAGATTGCAGCTGCGCCTCCAATCAGAAAGTCCATACAGTGTTCTTCATTCACAAAAATCAGAGATGGGTAGTTCGGTGTGAGTTGTCCGATAGAACGGTTCTCTGGTAAAAGTAATCTGGGATGGGTTGCAAAAGACCGAGAAAACAAAGAAAAACAACAAACACAAGAGTGCGTGAGCAACCATGGCCGCCATCGCTGTTGGCGCCATCTTCCTGTTGCTTGACATTATTCAGGTTACCATGCAAATGTAAAGTAAATTTTAAATGAATTTACAGGAAATTGATACAAGATGGTCAAAATTAGTGTTTTTTCATTACTGAATATTAGGATTTGGTTCACAGAGGTAGACAGTGGATGTCACTAAAGTTGGACACATTTAAACCATTGCAGAAGAGAGTGCAACAAGATGACGCAATTAAAAGTGCATCAGTGATTTGATCTTAATGTTTGTCATGTATTAGTTATAGAAAGCTTAAAGTCTCCTTTTGTTTTTGATGCAACAACCACCTCAGCCAAACATGAAAAATGTTTTTGCGATATTTTGACACGTGTAAAGTTTTGGGCATTTACTTCAGGGCTTTTTTACTGTGCAAATTAAAACTGCACATTAAATGTGGCTGGAAATCTAACATATATATTTATATGACAATATAGGTTTAAATTCACCAGGGAGCTTTTATGATTTCATTTCATGTTACCTATCCTTTAAAGACAAAATAAAAAGCCACAGACCTTCAAAATGGAATTGTCCCTTGTGGCACACTCCACAGAGAGCATTTTTCATAACACATAACAGGTTCACCTGAACTCTGTTACTATAGCCTATACCCAATTTTCTTAAGATGTCTATCTTGGTCCTTATTTTTGCAATTTACGGTAGCACTTCCCATCCTCATACAGTAATATCACACACACACGCTTAGAAACCTGGAAATGAAGCTTTCTGCATGAGAAGTCATTTGCAGTTTCCGGTGTGCCCTAAAAAGAATGAATTCTGTTTGCAGAGAAAACAGGAACAGCAGGTGCACATCAGATCAGCACCACCATGCAGTGGCAGGTGGAATACAGTCAGTGTTGATAGTCTGACTTCTACGGTTATTTGGGGTAATGGCACGGGGAGTGTGCTCAGACTTACTTTAAATGTTTTGACACATCTATGTTTTAAAGTGTTGGCCCCAGCTGTGGCAGAGTCATTAAACTAGGTCTTACTCTCTGCTCAAGGCTACATGATGAGTCATCATAATGTACAGCTGTCATCAGGGCTTTTGGGTCTATGTTAAATGCTTTGCCTGTGACCAAAGGTTTCATTAGACATTATTCACCCGCACCTGCCAGAGAATTCATATTCAGCTGCTGTGTTACTCTATATTCACATGTTCTTGTTTTTACGCAGCTGCTATCAAAATAGTTTGTAGTTTCAGTAGCTGTGTGGTGGAAACATTTGCTTTTAGGTATCTTGTATATCTGCAAAAGGATTTATGTGTGTGTGTGTGTGTGCGCGTGTGTGTGTGTGTGTGTGAGAGAGAGAGAGAGAGAGAGAGAGAGAGAAATCTTGCAGACACCCTGTGGCGACAGTAAGTGGAAGGTAAATGAGTAGTTGCCTACCTTTATCTGTGTGCCTGAGCGGGAGTTGGAGTTATGTGTCGTCCATGCCAATGAGGGAGTTTGGTGTCACTAACACATGCACAAAGTGTTTCTATACTTGTGAAGACACTATGTACTATAATGCATTCCCCACATTCAAACCAGAGCTTCAGTCATCTTAACTACGTGACATGCTACATCTCTTGATATCTCATGACAACTACATCTTTTTTAATCTTTAAAGGATAACTTCCTTTGTTTGTTTTTAACATGCTGTATTTACCCTAATTTCACTATAATAAGGATAATCACCTTTATTTGACCAAGTATGTTACACACACGAGGAATTTGTTTCCGGTACAGAACCGAGGCAGCCATCCGTGGTGCCAACTCAACCAATGGCTCTAACCATTAGGGGCAACTTGGGGGTTCAGTGTCTTGCCCAAGGACATTTCAACACGTGGACTGCAGGCACCAAGATTTGAACCTCCAACCGGGAGACGACTGTTCTACCCATTGAACTACAGTTGCCCCCACTGTCTCCATTGTAGAGAAAACTTAGGTTAAATGGTGTTACTGGGAAAATCAGCCTCTTAAACTTAAACTCTTAAACTGTTCAAAATAAACCTGATTTCATTCAGATAATTTGTCATGCTTATCTCTGAGTCAGAAGGAAAACAGATACAGCACATACAGGCTGCGGTCCTGAATAGCCTTTATAGCTAACTGTTTAAGATTATGCATCTGGGTCAACTTGCCAGCTGACCTGGTGACCATCCCATGCAGTTAGATGCAGAGATGCACCGATTACAGTTTTTCTGTGCTGATTACAGTTTTCTTTCTTTCTTTCTAAGAACTATAACTGATAGCATACACTACTACATTTAGTTTCTTTCCTTTGTACCCACAAATAAGTATAAAACATGATTTGACTGAAATCATGTTTATTCTGAGGACTCTTGTAGTTGCCCTGGTGATGCCGGTTAAAGTGACTTTAACACAAAATTAGCACTAGCCTCAGAGTCCCCATATATACTTTTAGGGGAAATACAGCAGGTTAAAAAATGAACTGAAGGTATCTCCTAACACCTGGCCTGATGGGCATGGGTGTGAGTGGGTAGAAGCGTGCTTTGTTGCATGCACACAAGTGCCACACAGTGATGTCACGTGGTCACTGTTGGGAAAGCTACTTTAAACATGTAGCTTTGCAAGCTACCAATTACTTCACATGGGAAGAAGTTGAACTACAGCACACACGAGCTGTCTCTCAAAGCTCTTATCCAACAAGGGGTTCTGTTTGACTCTGAAAATGTCTTTGTAAGTCACTCACATACAGCATGGTAAAATCAAAGGAAAATATCGTTCTTTGCCTTTTATGACCCAAAATAGTTTGTAGTTCCAGCAGATGACTAGGCACAAAATGGCAAAAAATGTAACTACTTGAATCACTATGCAGATATGAATGTAGCTGAACCACCAGCTAGTTTACTGTATTTAGAGTTTGTCCACTACACCCCAGTAGTACTCATGTACTCTACTTTACTGTAGCAAGGTGAATGAGTTAAACTACTGGAGCTCAGCAAGAATGAAATTTTCAGAGGGTGTTGTTACTCTTTAAGAATTCATTCCTTGTTAATTGGGCAACACTTGTGGTTACTGGTAATAATTTCTGTGCCTGCTTCACAATAAAAGCCATGCTGTTCTTGTGATTGTAACTGGTTCACCAGAGCAAATGGTAGGGGAACAAGATGGCTGTGGTAAAGCAGCCTAGTGCAAAAAGATTCTGATCCACTTCTGAGTCCTGTGCAGCCAGAACACTAAAGAGAATGGTTTTGTGTGGGTTACTTTGTGTGCGTGCGTGCGTGTGTGCGTGCGTGCGTATGCAATGTAGGCAGCCACATCTAGTACAACGCACCCGATGTCATGAACTCAGTGTGAAATTATTTTGATGCCCTGCAATAAGCTACAGAGAGTGGATGCAGGAGGCAGACAAGTAGGCTGGTTTAACAAAAGCTATTTCAAGCTCATCAAAGTTATAATACAGAGGAAGCTGATCTGACAGGTTCCATACACAGGCAGGCAGGCAAGCAGCAGCCAGGAATGATGTCTCATAAGTGCAGAGACACAGGTAGCCAGGTACAGGAAGACAAACACGCAGTGATATAGCGCCATGCCGACAGGCTGAAAGACAGGCAGGCACTGAGCTGTAATTACAGAAGCTATTAGACATGATGCTGGTGACTGGGACAGTACTATACAGTAGCTTGTGTTAATGTGCTGTGGAGAGGCTGAAGGATGCAGCTTGATACAACTGCCACACTAAACCTGGTCTCTATGCAACAGATGCACAGATCTGCCATCACCATGGAATCACATAAAATAGTGTCTTTTTATTAGTACTTTATGGTGCTGCTAATCCAAGCCCTTCTCCACAAAGGAACATCCTTCTCATGTGACTCTTCTTTGCTAATATCATGAGGTGTTCTACGAGTGTGATGGGAGCTGGCAATTTGCCAAGGTGAGGCCAATATAAGTGTCACACCAACATGCTGTGGTTTACTACTCTTCTGTAATATGCCTTACAAATTAGTTTAATATCCTATGTGGAAATTTAACCCGATATTTTCTCAGGGTCTCTTAATATATGGAGCCAAAGTGACTGGTAAAATGCAGCTGAGAGTAGTTTGATTAAGTCAGCTGTGCTTTGATTAAGGCACATCCCACTTCCATACCTCACTGAAGTCAAATGAACTATTACCATGGGATAGATCACAGGACAATAGCTGGAAAATCAGTTTGTGTTTGATCACTTAACAGTAATTGTAGTTAAAGGTAATCAGCCCGGTTGTTTTCTATACATTCATCATTGTCAGTGGGACAGTAGAACAAACAAGAGGTGCATTTGTTTGTATTTGAGGACAAGAATACCTATTAACTTCATTCTGCATGACACTATCAACCATCACTTTGCTTGACTTTCCTTAAGTTTTTGGCTATGCATTTTCTTAACTTTAAGAAAAAGCTTTTACTTTGAAGAGTTTTCACTTCATTACAGGTAACCCTTTAATCTGGTGTGTGTGTGTGTGTATGTGTGTGTGTGTCTTACTGGCAGGCTTATTAAACCTGGAGCAGCTCCTCAGGCAGTTCCTCATTTCCAAGGAGACTCTGTCAGTGCGCATGCTCGATGACAGCGAGGACCCGACCCCACTCTTGAAGGAGATACGAGATGACAAGACTGCCACTATTATCGTCGATGCCAATGCCACCATGTCACATATCATTTTGGAACGGGTTAGTATTGTTCACATGGTAGCCATGTTATTTGTGCACTGCCAACCTTTCTTTTTCAGTTTCTACAGTCTTTGTTTTATACTGATTCCCAAGATCCACATTTATATAATGCTCATACATCTCAAAAAGGAACAGTAACTGAACATTGCCAGTGGCAAGAACTGTTCAGAACTAATAGTAATTCTATATTTGGAGATCTTTTTTATATAAATGGAAGAAATTGGTTAGCTTTCAGTTTTGACCTGTAGACAAAGAGGTTGTATTCCCCACATGGCACCGTGAATAGTGTGCAGAACGTATAAAAAGGGAAATGTCTTTTTCTCCACCATGATTTATTTGCTGTCTTGAATCACAACATAGATGTACACTGAGCAGTGGGCGCAGCATTTCAAGAGAAAGGGCTGCAGAGCCTATATATAGTCAAAGAAGAGTCCAAAATAAAAGGCAAATACATTAAGGTGTACTTGCCTGACAAACCTGTTACATCAAATGATATGGTTGAAAGATTCATCGTCCATAAGTGACAATTCTGCACAGTGAAGTGGATTAGTGTGAGTAAGGACAGACTCATTAGAAGAAGTTCTATCCATGTTATGGGTTAAAACAAGCTGTTTTAGCAGATTAAGTTCTATTCAAGTCTATAGTCCATCTGTTGGTCCTTTTTGTTAAAAACACTTTTTTTGTACAAATCTAATCGTAAATGTAATATTCAAAGCTAAAGTTCAGCCTCTGAGAGAAACCATTTTCTGACAACATTAGTGAGTGCTATTACTGTCACTATCATCACAGTATGACCTTCACTGTAAGTGCTCTCTCCACTAATGCCACATACAAATAATTAACACCTCAGAACATCATTAAGACCTTGAACACTTTGACTCCAAACTAATACTGAAGCCTCTCCCAGCTGGAGACTTGTAAAGAGTCATTACAGGTGATTGTGGGAGTCAGGAAAGTGATGTTGTTTGGCAACAACATAGGCCTCTTTGTAATTAATACACACCTCACTGTTTCTTGAAGACAATGGGTGGCTACAGTGGAGGTGACAATAAGTGGAGACAGAAGAAGGAGAGATGTGTGTCTCAGCTTCAAACTTTTTCTCCCTCATTCTCTCTGTCATAATCTCCTTCTCTGTCTCACAGTAGTCTTCAATCTCAATCTCTCACCTCAATCAAGTGTTCATTCTGCTATCAGTGGTCATTCAGTTGCCATGGAAACAATGGCAACCCTGGGACACAGAGCAGCGGGAGTCTACTGTGAGATGTCTCTGTTCCCTTTCTCACCCCATCTGTCTCTTCAGTTTCAATATGGAGTTTCTCTCCTTCTCACACTGTTTGCTCAGTTGCAGAGAAGACGGTTTCACTTTGTTTCTTCACACCTCCCCCAGCGTGTGGTCTTGTATATCCATCCTTCTGTTTCTCACTTTTTTGTCTTCTTTATGTGATATGCTGTCTGTCCCTCTGTCTGTCAGGAAACAATCCTGCAGCAGGATGGTGGAAAGTTATCAGTCCCATCTCTCATGTAGATTGCCTAGTTGCCAAACATATCAAAGCTGTGTGGCAATATACTTGCCAGTCTCTGAGGATGATAAAAGCCTGTCTAAGGGACAGAACTTTCCTTTGTCTGTTAACATCTAACATCAAACCTTCGTCAGACAAAGGTCTCCCTCTCTGAGGTTTTACCATTCGGAGGGGTTTAGGTCAGCAGTGTTAGCATTCTGAATGTAATCTCATTCAGACAGGCCTTCGCTCTTGTGCACAGCTGTACAGACCCACAGTGGGATAGGTAGTGAACCTAGCATATGGGGGCAATGCAAACCATGTACACACTGACCAAGAGTGGAACAGCAAGGAGATCGAAAAGTGGGGAGGGGGGAAGGCAGGGAAGCTTTCAAATGCAGTGAAAGGGGAGCAAAGGGCCATTTTCATCAGTTGCTTGTTATGTGTCTTCTGAGTGGGATGTGGGCAGCAACCAAAGGCAATATAAGTTGCAATTTCAGTTTCTGTTTGGTTGTATTAAAGGCACATGTCACTCTAGGGACAGATACGGTGGTCTGAAATATTACTTTTCATATTTTGTATAAAGGAGAAAAAGTCACCTACGTAGCACAATTAGTTAGCTTTACCTCCTTCGTGTATAGCAGCTGCTAACAAAATACCTAAAGTAGTCATCATGCTTACTGTAGTTTCAGAATACTAAATACTAAATGCTAAATACACTGAAAGGAGGAAGCTTTATAAAGACATCATGAGAGTCTGACAATGAAAGACAGTTTTGCGATGATAATTGGCAGCTTTCTACCTGTTAGTGTTTTATTATTTAATTTGTATATTCAGCAGCTGAGTGACTCCTGATGGCAGCCACCCAGAGCATACAGTACAGGAGATCCATCCATCCATCCATCCGCTTATCCGGGACTGGGTCGCGGGGGCAGCAGTCTAAGCAAAGATGCCCAGACTCCCCTCTCTCCAGACACTTCCTCCAGCTCCTCCAGGGGAATGCTGAGGCGTTTCCAGGCCAGCCAAGAGACATAGTCCCTCCAGCGTGTCCTGGGTCTTCCCCGGGGCCTCCTCCCAGTGGGACATGCCCAGAACACCTCCCTAGGAAGGCGCCCAGGAGGCATCCGAAACAGATGCCCGAGCCACCTCAGC